ACATCATCTGTTGTCTGAATAATTTTGCATGTAATTATAGTCACTGCAATGGGATAGACAGGAAATCTCTACTTGACCAGATTCTATTGTCTATTTCTGGCAATGTGATATCTTTAATTTTGGTGAATATTTTTGTAATTTTTGGTAAAAAGTGATATTTTCCACTTCTTGTTAAAAACCAAGTCTGATTGCTTTGATACTATACATATAGGGACCTCAGATAGACCTCTGTTAGATTTGTTCATTTCTAATGATCTCAGCCGACAGGCTGCTTGTTTTTGGTTGTTATGTGAACATTTGTTTTTGGTGGGATGCATGGTAACTATGGTAACTAAGACAATCAGATCAATCTATATATTTTACATTTATATTATTTACAGTTGGGAGGAATTTGTGAGTATGTATTTAAATGGAAGACAAGTTTAGCGTGCCCACCATCTAGTGAACCGTGCGTTACAGCGTACAATGGTAAAATATATGATTTACAGGTGTTATCCAGAGCTACTGGGCACTGGGAGGTCAAAGACAAAGATAATGTGTAAGTTTTGTATGTTGCTATAGTTACTATTGATAAACGATTTGACTGATACATCTGCTGTAAATTATGATTGCTACGGAGATAGTCACATGGTGGGTATCGGTTCAGCGTCATCTTTGGTCAAAACAATTTCAGCACCACTGTTTATTTGTGAAAACAAATTTACATAAAAAAAAAAATGTGTCCAATGCTCCCCAAAACAAACATAGAAAAATTATAGATATGGCTTTTGATATGATAATTTTTATCATTATATCATTACCATGACAACGTATCCCAGTGGTTTAACACAAGTTGTAGGTTTTTGTCCACGTAAACAAAATAGTCTCTATTTGATGTCAATGTTTTGTAAACAAATGTTGATTTCAGCAATGTAGATTTCATTAAAATGTTTAATATTTAAAAATTATTTTATGAGTACAGCCAAATAAATTTATGGAGAATAATAAATATATTGCAAGCCTGCAATATAAGGACAATATAAAATGACAGGATGAATTTATTTGTCAATTTTAAAACTTTTCAGGTACTATAGTAGTTGAACTACTAATATGTATGTTAAAATTGGATGTCCCTTTTTTCACTCCATAAATATTTGTATCTACAACTTTTAAAAAAATTTTTTTTTATTCGTGGATGCCTAATTATCTTTTTTTTTTGCATCAGGTATTTTATCAATCTTTGCCAGCCAGTATCGGAGGCCAAATGTCCAGAAGGATCTGCCATTTGTGTTAGGAAATCAGATGGTAGTTATGAGTCATTAGGATTGGCAAAGACACAGCATATGAAAGTAGAAGGTATGATATTGCCATGTTAGTTATTTTATATAATAACATATATTTGTGAGGGCAATAATATTATTTCAGGGTTTTTTCTGCAAAACAACTGCAATTCAGCGGCGCCACTAAGTGAGGGAGATAGGGTTCTCCCTACCAGGGTGTGGAGTTTTTGATAATTCTAAGTTAAAATGGAGC